CTGGCCATAGATTCTGAAGTGCTCTACAGTAGCATCTTCGGTTTCCCTGTCCGACTCGGCAATTCCTGACCGGCCAATGGGAAAATAAAGTAGAGAATTTGGCTATATGCTGGGACATCCGTAGTTTTTTAATCGAAAAAATACGTAACAATAGCGTGGGAAATGAACTGAATGAATTCGGATTATCAGCAGGGAAGTTTCTTCAAGGATACCCCTCAACGACTACACGCCATGTATCCTTTGCTTTTCAAGGATAATGATAGAGGCTGAGCTTGCATCACTGCGATGAGGGGGCTGATACAAGCCTTGCTCTCGCACCACAACTACGGTGGAAACCCTGTCTCTTATACACGTCTAGATGTGTATAAGAGAGCATCACTGCGATGAGGGGGCTGATACAAGCCTTGCTCTCGCACCACAACTACGGTGGAAACCTACCCCGACTCGGAGGGCTGGGAGAGATCCAGGTTTGGTTGGTCTTCCCCCTTACTATACATAAGAGCCGCGGCCATTTCCCGGCTTTCATGGTAATAAATGATTGATCTTCTTCTATTATTAAAAAAAAAAAAAAAAAAAAAGGAAGCAAGAGAATACGTGAGATAAGGAAAAATATAATATATATCGTCAAATAGAACTGCCCGGTAAACCGTAGGCAGAGAGGGAGAAGAGGACAACAAACGAGGGGCTGTGACAAACTGTTTCGTCGGAGTTTCACCGACTCTATATAATATATATATGTCGTCACAAACAGAACTGCCCGGTAAACCGTAGGCAGAGAGAGAGAAGAGGACAACAAACGAGGGGCTGTGACAAACTGTTTCGTCGGAGTTTCACCGACTCATCAGGAGGCTGAACCCTCAACAGTCTGCAGAATCCCCTCACTGATTACACTGTAAATGATAATCTACCTTAACCAAAATCAAAGTAGACTATCACTCACCCACACCAGATGGAAAACTCTACAGACTGTCGGTTCACACCCCATCACAAGCCAGCAAAACATCCACGAAACAAAGAAAGGTCTGTCACAGCCAAAAAATACACTCCAGACACGCCGCTGGCATATATATATATATCGTCAAATATATATATATACATATATATATATATATATATAATATATAGTCAAACAGAGCTGCCCGGTACACCGTAGGCAGAGAAGGAGAAGAGGACAACAAACGAGAGGATGTGGCAAACTGTTTCGCCGGAGTTTCACTGACTCATCAGGAGGCTGAACCTATATGTATATTTTTTTTATATATATATCGTCACAAACAGAACTGCCCGGTAAACCGCTGGCAGAGAGAGAGAAGAGGACAACAAACGAGGGGCTGCGACAAACTGTTTTTCTTAGTTTCACCGATTCGTATATATATTGCACAGGTCACGTCCTCCACGGTCTTTTTTCTTTCTTCCTTTGTTCTCTTTTCTTTTTAGGGTCCACGGCCGCCATGTTAATTTCCTCCACACCTTTTACAATTGATGGTTGTCCCAAAAGGTACGAGTCCTTATATGGGACCTGGTGCCAGCATAAGGTGCGAAACGCGCCCATTGTCGCCCATAGTCCGCGAGTGACCAACTTGTTTTCACTCGTTTACCAGCCCAGACATGGCGCCCGTCGTTCACTTGTTTTCACTCGTATACCAGCCCAGGCGTGGCCAGAAGCGGAGTCAGATACATTCTGAAAGTGCAAGGGTGAGACTGCCTGACTTTCCTTTGGTGGCAGGACTTCATCGCTCAGTGCTCCCCGTCCCGGTTTCTCACGGGGAGTCTCAGCAGATACCGGCGAGATTGTCGGTGTTTTTTTTTCATTTGTACTAACGAGGGGGGGGGGGGGAGGTAAACAGGACACAGAGGTCATGAGAACCAGCGCACTACTATCCACAAGCACAAAAGGAAAAGAAAAAGAAATGGTGGTGTATCTTCCCCTGTTCTAGCAGAAGATTCATTCTCAATTTACACATTAGGAATCCTGCAGCAGGGCCCATTCTTGGCCTCGTTGTACTACTCTCCAAATGTGCAAAATGAGACTGAATCCACCTCTAGAACATGGAAAAATACATTCCCATCTTTTTTGTCTTCTGTGCACATGGAGAGTAGTGCAGCGAGCCCCACATTATTCTTGTTTTTCCTTGTTGCAAAAAAAAAAAAAAAAAAAAAAAAAAA